ACATGGCCACGGGGAAGGGGCTGGCTGGCGTGGTGAGTCCCCCCAGCAGCGTTGCATGGGCGTGCCCCCAGGAGGGCCAGGGAGGAGGACACCTGAGAACGGGGACAAGGCTGCAGCTAAAACTGTACGCCAGAGGCCAAGGTCTCCATGCCTCAGTTTCCCCATCTGTAAAACATAGGGGTATTGGGGGCCATCCCGTGTGCTTGCTGGAGGGGTTCCCATCACTCGCCCCACTCTTTCTCGCAGGTCAACGGGCAGGCTTTCAGCAAGGCCTTCGCACCCCAAACCAAGCCCTGGATCACCCTGGCCAAGGCCCTGGGCACAGTGCTGCAGACCACAGCCAAGCACGCACACGGCAACGTGCAGGTCTGCACCCTAGGTGAGCCGGGCAGAACAGGCCCCGCACCCAAGCACAGGGACCCCAAGGCATGCGGGGACCCCAAGATGTGGGACTGGGGGTGCGTGAGTGGATAGGAGGATGGATGGGTGGGTGGAGGGATGGGAGGATGGATGGGAAGGAGGATGGGTGTGGATGGGTAGATGGACAGGAGGATGGATGGATGGTGCGGTACAAGGATGGGAGAACGGGTGACTGGGGGGTGAATGGATGGATGGGAGGATGGATAGGAGGATGGTGGTATGGACGGATGCATGCACGTATGCATGCATGGGCAGGTCGATGGATGGGTGGGCCCTGGGTTGGTGGCTCCACTACAGGGCTGACCTCTCCATCTGCTGCTGGTCCACCCATCTCCTGCCTCCTCTCTGCACCCCAGGAACACCCCTGCAGGAGGCTGGCAGCTACCTGGCACCTGCAGTGGTCTCGGGCATGCTGGCCGGAGGGACGCAGAAGGAGGTGAACCTGGTGAACGCCCTGCTGCTTGCTCAAGAGGCTGGGCTGAAGGTGTGTGGGCACCCCGTGTCGGCCTGGCACAGCCAGACGCCTTCCTCCCCTGCCAAGCAGCACAAGCCCAGCTTGGTGGGCAGAGCCCTGGGGGTAGGATCACCCCCATGGACGGCTCTCTGGCTGGGGGTCCACCAGGCATGGCCCAAAAGGAGGTTCCCTGTGGTCCCCTGTGGCCATACCAGGGAGGGAAGGGTGCCCCCATGTGCAGAGCTTGGGCACTGAGCCGCTGTATCTCTCCGGCAGGTCACGGCCACCCACAGCGACGTGGCTCCC